AACGCAGTTACATGCACCAAATACACCTACAGAAGATACATTCAAAGATTTCAAGCAAGTGACTATGACATATAAGCAGTTGCAGTTAGCGAAAGAGAGCTTCTCTAAGCAGAAGTCGAGGATCCAATACTTAAGCTTAGGAGACTCAAACACATGATTCTTTCATAAGTCAGTTAAAATTATAAGAGCAAAGAAACAAATAAGAAGACTAAGACTGGAATTTGGGACTAAATCACAGAAGCTGAAGAGATAGTAGAGGAGGATGTTAGTTTCTATAAAGGTTTGTATGGGGTAGTGAATATGGAGATTCAACCAAATAAAGCCTTCCTGAGGCAGTCTGTGACTAAAGAAATAGGAACTAGAGACAAGCAGGATTTATGTAAGTCAATCACTCACCAGGAAATCAGAGAAGCTTTATTTTCTATGGAGACTTCTAAAGCTCCAGGGCCATTTAGATGGTCAGTGGAATTTTTTCAGAAGAATTGGCTTCTTGTTGGAGAGGACATCTGTAAGGGTGTCCTGGAATTCTTTTGTGAGAAGCGACTTCCGAAGGGAATGAACATAGCTTCTTTGACTTTGGCTCCCAAGGTACCTACTGCTAATACTTTAGCTGCTTTTACCAAGTATAATAAGTAGAAATCAATCGGCTTTTGTGAAAGGGTGCAGTATTTTAGATAACATATTGATGCCATAAGAAATGGTACAGAACTACAATAAGAAAACAGTTGCTTCAAGATGTGCAGTAAAGATTGATTTGCAAAAAGTATTTGATTCAGTCAGTTGGTCCTATCTCTTTTGTGTTATGGAATTAATAAACTTACCAGTAGAGTTTATGGGATGGATTAGAGCCTTCTTAGAGTCAGGGTACTTCATTATTTCAATTTATGGCTCTTTGTTTGGTTTTTTCCCTGCATTGAAAGGGGTAAGACAGGGAGACCCCCTTGTCTCCCTACTTATTCACCATTTCTCTTGAACCTTTATCGAGCATGCTTGATCTCGCAACTCAAACTAAATAGCTCCCTTATCGTCCACAGTGTAAATCAGTAGGTTTGACACATTTATGCTTTGCGGATGACCTGCTGATATTCACTGAAGGGTCTACTGCAGCTCTGCTTACGGTTAAGAAGCTACTAGATGGTTTTTATTACCAATCTGGCATGTGATGTAATCCTGATAAGTGTGAGGTCTTCTTTGGAGGAAGAGCACTGATTTACAAAGAAAATGCTCTAAGAATTTCTGGATTTACATAGGGGAATCTGCCAGTTCGATACCTTGGGTTGCCTCTGATTGTTGGGGGTTTGACTAGTAAGGAATGTCAAGTCAGATTAGATCATGGAGAGCCAATTCTTTATCTTATGTAGGTAGAATCCAACTGGTGTCTTTGGATTTATACTCTCTTATACAGTATTGGATGACAATTTTTGTGCTCCCTAGGAATGTTATTGCTCAGATTCACAAAATATGTTCTGATTTCTTATGGTTTGGTGAGGGTACTAGCAAAGCTAAGGTAGTGTGGGAGAATCTTGCAACGCCTAAGAAAGAGGGGGTGTAGGCTTTAAAGACCTACATTCCTGGAACGTGGTTTGTCTTGCAAGACTGATTTCGCTTCTTCTGATGAGAGGAGGGAGTTTTTGGGTGGCATGGATTTATAAGTATAGGCTAAAGGATCGCTATTTTTAGGATCTGCCTATTTCTACACTTGGTTCATGGATTTGACGCAAGCTATTGCGGATGCAAGGATGGTTTCAATATAGGATGACGATGAATGCTCAGAATGAAGGATTATGGGAAGTGAAACTAATGATTAAGTTCAGAGTGCAGCAAGTTTGGAATTCCATTCGAGTGAGACGACCAATTGTCTCTTGGTGGCAACTGCTCTGGAGTAAATATGTAACCCTGAGGTATAGAGTTGTTGCGTGGCTGGTGATATTGAACATAATTACTACTCGGTATAAGCTCAAAAAATGGGGACAAATTAGTGATGATGCTTGTCTCCTATGTTCTAATGCGAGTAAGACTCGTAGTCACTTATTTTGTGAATGTCAATACAGTAGAGAACTGTTTTCTGAATTGTTTGACAGGATTGACATAAGATGCCCAAGAGACTGGAATGGATTCCTTCTAACATTAAGTCAGATGGCAGTTCGAGGAGGTGCACAGGGAAGATGTTTTTCTGTCCTTTGGAGCTGGTACATGAGTCTCATATGGAAGGAGAGATGCAGACGCTATTTCGAAGGGACTAAAAGACCATGCATGGCAGCAGCTTTTTGACCAGCTTATGAGAGATGTGTTTTTGCTTTCACTTGGTAATGACCAGTTTAGGGTTGAAATGCAGCCAGTATCTCTTTGGAGGGAGTATGTTTAGAGTGTAGACAACTTTATTTTTGCTGTTTGTGGACGATTTGTCCTTGTATTTTAGATGGCCTTCATTAATTTGGTCGAAGGGAGCTTTAATGAATGCCTACTTACCGGAAAAAGTCAATTTTTTATGAATAAAAGTCAATATTACTAACAAAATTACTGACTGAAAGATAACATTTTGCTAATTTTAAGTATTTCGATAGGTTTCTCTAATAAAAAAGAATCCAAAAAAGTGTGGATAAAAAAATAGATATTACCCTACTTCAAGGGGATGCTAAGGTGGTAATTGTGAAGGTTAACGCTAGGAGTGTTGCTGATGCGAATGTTGGGCAATCTTGGAAGAGATTCTTGTGTGCATTGCTGTTTATGCTCATCTGCGATTCCGATTTGTGAGGAGGGATAACAATAGGGTGGCCCATGTGGCTAAGAAGGCCCTTTCTTTGTTTCCTAATCGCTGTAATGGGTTTGATTTTTGTGCCTGGCTCTCTAGTGAGGTGGGTATGATCTAACTTTTGTTTCTTGTTTAATACAAGCTATCGTTTTGTTAAAAAAAATTAGAATACAATATATTCGTGACCTTTTCTAGTATAATTTATTTAGAAATTAGAGTCAAACCTTTAAAAAATGTATCTTATGTCAACCAATATAGTAAAAAAGACCACGGTTAAAGTGATAGCGTCGTATTTGCACATGTTTTCACACTCGTTTCCTTACCATTTTTAGCTCGAATTTGTGGTTCCTTGGCCTATTGTATGCTAGGTTGTGTTATTTTGTCATATTTCAGGTCCTAGCGAGTAAAGGGAGGCATAGGTGCAAGTTTCAGGTCATTTGGAGGTCATTTGGCGATTCAAGGTGCAAAATACTGTTGTCCCCTGAAGGATTACAATCGTATTTTGCTTGCTCCTAGCCGTAAAAGTTATGTCGAGCCAAACCCGTGAAGATGCCTGAGGAAGTGAAAAATACGGGCAAGACCAGATGGGAATACGGTCGTAATTTGGAGATTACGGGCAGTATTTTAGTATGTACGACCGTATTCCCCCCCCCCCCCCCCCCACATCAGCAGTAAGTGAAGCGCGTGTTTTGGGAAAAATATCGCGGGCAAATTACGACCGTATTTCTACCCGTATTTCGCCCAGAATCGGGTTGAAAAGGGGCAGATTCAAGCCAAAGGAAGGGGATTCGACTTTTTGGAGCAAAAACAGAGTTCTAGAGAAAGAAAGTACGAAGCACAAACCCTAAGAGCTCTTTTGGAGTAGATTTTTCACCATTGAAGCCCAGATTTCATCCCCAGGAGTGAAGATTGACATCCAGAGCAGATTATTCCCATCTTTATGAGTATGACTGCTTTGATTTCTGTTTTCCTCTCTCTCTCTCTATGGAGTATACCTTTCTCTCACTTGGGTATGAAGAACCCTAGTTCCATGTATTAGCAATCTTGATTGTAATGACTTTTGGATTGATATACTGTTTGATTATAATCGATTGAGGTGTGTTTATTGAGTCAATTGAATGCTGATCAACTTCTCTTGATTTCTGATTCAACCTGTGATAGATAGGATCTGAATAAGTTGTTATAGCTTCTTCAACCGGTAGTAGTGAATTGATTACACGAGAGTTAGTCGATTCACTGCTTTGTACGGGAATCCAATTCCAGTAGTGGAGTTCTGTGCTAATTGCCTTAGCTTTCTATCCTGGTGAAGACTAGTTGTCTGCCGGTTAGTCTGTCTAAGAGGGTCTGGTCAGCTTAAGAGATTTCAAGCTACTGTCGGATCTACTGCAGTTTAATCAACAATAAATCAATCAAAGGAAATTACAACTTGGACCTACCTAAGGAGCTAGGGGGACTCATTCCTGAGTGACTCTTCTCTTGCTTTAGGAAACCGGACAATTTACTGCTTTCTTTCTGCTTTACTTTAAACTCACCTACATTCACTTAGTCCCGATACATAATAGATAATCACGAAGTAGGCAGTACATCTAGGCCCTGGGTTGACATTTATTACTTGATTCCACTATACTGCATTTCCATTCTACGATTACTTGATCGCAATTTGGTGTTGCGTCGTAGCGTGTCATAAAGGCTAGGTGTTAAACTTATTTAAAAACCTAAAGACAACAAAGTGAAACTTTTACTGTGCACAATTTTTTTTCAGGATGTACTTTCATTTTACATAACATTAGCACAATACTAGCATGTACCTGAATGAGGTTCAAGAGTGAAAATTCAAATATTTGATAAATAATCACCTAAGAAATAAATATAGTTTAGATCAATGAAAAGGAGAGGCAATTGCATATCATGATTATTATGTAATTATTGGAGCCTAGTCATTTGTTTAACTTAATTTAGAATATGTATTGAACAACATTTTTAAAGAAAAAGAAAGAAAGGGGAACCAATAATGTCAAATAAACACTCAAATATATTACCTTTTTCATAGATTTTTCTTTTTGTGTTATAAAAGGTAAGCAAGTCATTTATTAAAAGAGACCCCTAGATTGTAGTACTTGCACAATTGTAACAAAAATTAAAATGAAGAAATCTAAAGGTCAAAAGTCAAACCCTTGGGTTTCCTCCCCTCCCTTCATGTTCTCGTTCATTATGAAAAATTATAAAACATGCGGCTTAACCAAATCCAATTCTAATAGAAAAGCCCTCTAAAATTTTTGTTATAGTTCCCCTTCGCGTGATTTTTTCGAAACTTTTGATCCCTTTTCTCTCTCTTGCACCCTTTTCACCTTTTCTATGCTCTGTTGTTGATTTTTCTCTCACCTCATTTGTTGTTTCTCAAAATTGTGAAACCCTCTCTATTTTTCCTTGCCACCCCAAGAAATCCTCATTTATCACCTCCAAATCTTTATTGGAGAAAATCTTGGGTCAAGATTTTTGGGTAATTCTTCTTAGAGGCGACGAATGGTTGGATTTCTTAGTTCAACGAAGCAACATTTTTCTCACGCTTGTATTTAAGATTTTGATCATACAGCGGAAGAATATAACTAATTAGATGAAATGCGCCGATGAGAGCAAAAACACCAACTTTGGAAGGAGGCACATTGCTAGTCCTTTTTCTTTTTGGGTTATCTGAAATTGTGATCAATCTTTAGTTTTAGTGTGGGGGAAAGAGAGGGATTTCTGTTGTGGGATTCGGGTGTGGGCATTTCTGATTTAGGACAAAAATAAAACATTGGGGTTTTGTGTCTTCTCTAGCATTCTCTCTTTTCCTTAAAAGAACTTGTATATGTTAGATTCGATGAGATGAGAAGGGTAGCAAGTGAATGGGGTTGTGGCTTTAGAGGAAATGGGATTAAGAAGACTTGGGTACATAATGGTCTGTGTGATGCTTCTTTTTTTGGTGGCCATGGTTGATTCTGCAAATCATCGACCTGAGGTGAAGGAAGAAAAACTGGTAATGTTTCTTTTCTTTTTCTTTGTATATTTTTCCTTTCTCTTGCTTACCGCTTCAATAAATGCTTGTTGTTACATATATAGATTTTGATGCTAAAGCCTTGTTGAATGCTATATTTTTAATGAAGATAAAACCTTATTAGATATACTATGCTGACATTTGGTGGCCTATTCAATTATCATTGTCATCATGTCAAGTTGAACAAATTAGAAAGATATGTAGATATTGCAAGGGTCATTTTGGGGCAAAAATGCTTACAATTATGGGAAATTAATGAGTATATTGGTGAAATTTGCTTATTTCTTCATGAGGATATGAAGTATTATATACATATACAGGCAGAAGAGGCATGGATCCGAGGCAAGAAACATATAGGGGACAATAAAGGTTTTTCGAAAGATTGTGACTTGTACAATCTAGTGCAATCAATCAGTGAATCAGAATCATCTTCATTGGCTAGAAAAAGCATGCACAATGTCATCAGAGTTATGCCCATACAAATGAAAAGAGAACTCCTTCATTGCGTGAGAAACAAAAATCTTCTCTCTGATGATTTTGCTGATGGTGGTAGCAGCTCTACGCGATGGCTCATAGAGTGTTTTCGCATAGCTTTGAAATGTCCTATTAGTACTCAAAGAAGATATATGTCTAGTAAGCGTAATGTCAAAACTGCGTTGAATTCTCTATCACCTGTAACATCTCAGTCGGATAGCCCTGCAATTGCTATAAGGTCTCAAGCTTATGGCTCAACCCCACCCTCTCTACATAAATCATCACTTATCACCACTTCACATTACAATCCTCTGGCCCTCCTATTTTATGAAGCAAACCTTCATCAACGTCGGGAACTCGAGTCATCATCAACACCCTCTGTTTCAGACTCCAAGAAAAAACACAAGAAACATAAAAAGAAATCAAAGGAAGAAATTGAGAGACAAACACTTGTTGCTATTATAGCTACTTCAGTAGCGACCTTCTTGATTGTTGCAGTATTATTTTGTTGTTGGATTTGCTTAAGAAATAGTGAAGCTGAAATTAATTATATTGAAGAGAAGCGAGATGAGAGGCCTCTACTCCACTTGCGTGATTCTTTTGCTAGTAAGTCTTTTGTCACCTTGTTATATTCATTTTAAATTCACTAATTAGCATTTTCTATAAAAGAAAGTTAAAGCTTGCATATTTTCTAGGTTCATCTCTAGCTTCTGCAAGTATGGCTACTTCGAGTGCTAACGACCCAAAGTCTAGTGGTGTTGTAAACACAACACTTGCAAGCAACCTATCTATGCAACAGGAGAAACAAGAAGGTGTAACACTAGAGGGACAATCATCAGAGACAAAAGCAATTGCAGGAGATGAACTTCCACCTCTAAAACCTCCACCAGGAAGAACAGTGGCACCCCCACCACCAGCGGCACCTGCTCCACCGCCACCTCGTCCACCTCCCCCAGGAGCTCCAGGACCTCCAGCACCCCCAAAACCCCGCCCCCCACCTCCTCCTAAATCAAATTTAAGGCCTTCACCTCTTGGACCAAAGAGGCCTAATAAGAGTGGCTCTAACGATGCAAATGGTACCGATGATGGAGGTCAAAAAACTAAATTGAAACCTTTCTTTTGGGATAAGGTTATGGCCAGTCCTAATCAATCCATGGTTTGGCATGAGATTAGTGGTGGATCTTTCCAGTAAGCATATAAAAATCTTTAAACTTTTTGAGTTTCTGTTTATGAAAGCTATTCTTCCGCATCCATCTTTGTTTTGCTTTTAACATCCTTTTATCATTGGCTTTACAGGTTTGACGAAGAGATGATAGAGTCACTTTTTGGCTATAATGCCAATAAGAATAACAATGAGCGTAAGAGAGAGGTAGTTGACAATTCAGTTCAGTACATTCAAATTATTGATCCGAGGAAGGCTCAGAATCTATCTATACTTTTGAAAGCATTGAATGTGACTACAGAAGAAGTTCTTGATGCTCTTCGAGAAGGTAACTTTTTATTCTCTCCTAATATTTTCTTTCTGAACTAAAATTCACGAGTCCTTACGCTTGAAATCTTGTTGAATGCAGCTAACGAGCTTCCAGTGGAGCTTCTCCAGACTTTGTTGAAGATGGCACCAACAGCAGATGAGGAATTAAAGCTTAGGCTATATGCGGGTGAGATTGCTCAACTAGGCCCTGCTGAACGTTTCCTCAAAGCATTGGTGGAGGTCCCTTTTGCTTTCAAAAGAATTGAATCCCTAGTGTTTATGAGTTCCCTTCAGGAAGAAGTTACCACTCTCAAAGAAGCCTTTGTGACCCTAGAGGTGAGGGAATGAAATAGTTTCTCTTTTTAATATGAAACATTAAAACAGCTTGTGGAAAAACTAATAAACTTTCAATTATTTTCTAACGTAGTCTAGTTAACCACAAACCCAAGTAGACATCGTTTTAATTAGTATTTGTTTCCATTTTCCACTATTAAAAATTTATACATTCAAAATGGCAGGTAGCTAGCAACAAGCTCAAAAATAGCAGGTTATTCTTGAAACTACTGGAAGCAGTCCTCAAAACTGGCAACCGAATGAATGATGGCACATACCGAGGTGGTGCATTAGCATTCAAGCTCGACACTCTTCTAAAGCTCTCAGATGTCAAAGGAACAGATGGAAAGACAACTCTTTTACACTTTGTTGTTCTAGAAATCATTCGTTCTGAAGGCATTCGAGCAGTCCGAGCAGCAAAGGCAAACGCAAGCGTCTCTAGCGTGATGTCAGATGACCTCAGCGAGGACCCCAATGATAAGGCAGCAGAGGAACACTACTGCAACATTGGTCTTCAAGTAGTTTCGAGCTTGAGCAACGACTTTGATGAGGTGAAAAAGGCAGCCGTATTGGACGCTGACATGTTGTCATCTACACTGGTAAAACTTAGGAAATCATTAACGAAGGCTAAAGCTTTTGTGGAGTCAGACATGAAGAGCGATGAAGAGAGCGAGTTTTATGCAGCACTCGTTGGCTTCATGAATCGAGCTGACTCAGATATTGCCTGGCTTTCAGAGGAAGAGAAGAGGATAACAGCACTAGTACAGAGCACAGCAGATTACTTCCATGGCAAGTCGGGTAAGGAAGAAGGCTTACGACTTTTTAGCATTGTTCGTAGTTTCTTGACAATGCTTGACAAGGCATGTAAAGAAGTGAAGGAAGCGAGAGCTAAGAAAGTGCCTGCAACGAAAGTGTCGATCAAGAAAGATAACTTAGGTGAGGCGTCAAGTTCAGGAATTCAACAACAACAACAACAGGTTGAGAATCAAAATCATCATAAACGGTTGTTTCCAGCCATTGCTGAAAGGCGGAATAATGAGTCTTCTAGTTCAGATGATGAAAACTCAAGTGATGAAGATTAGCCCTCCCTTTTCCTCTCTTCTTAGCTTTTGTATGATAGATACCAAAACAAAATGCCAAATCTTTCTCAGTCTACAATCTTGTACATGTACACACTTTCTTGTTTGTATATTCACCCAAGTTAGAGAAGGAAAATTTTTCATTTTTATTATTTGCTAGAGTCTATTTATCAATTTTTAGAGACAAAGATGGTATTGAAAATCCGTTAAAGAAATGTAAATTGCACCTCACTAATTGATAATTGTACGATTATGTCTTACTCAAATGCCTCATTGTTTTGCACAAGTGGTTTTTAGAGTCGATCGATTATTTGTAGCACTACTCGCCTGGAGAACTTATTTTCATGTCCATTCTTAACTTTTAATGGTCTTTGTTGCTTCTCTAACCATCAATGAATCTTACTTTGTAATCAAACTAAATAAATATTTTGAGTTCGACAAAATGTGCATCCCAAAATATTGATGTTGGCTATCAAAAGAGCTAGCGCAACATGAGACTTGAGGTGAAAAGAAATTTAACTCATTGGGTCCCCAATTGGCAAGCAAGTTTAAGAATCTCAGTGACTAACTCCATAAGCATAATTGTCCAAAATTTATTAAGAATCCTCCTAACAAGCAATGGCGAGATGCTATTATGGTGCATCTTTTAGCCTCATATTTGATAAATTGAATCAACAAACAATTAAAGTTCAAGGTTACCCACCCTGGTGGGGATTGCCACCATACATAACTCTCTGTCTCCATCGTCCAACTAGATGTCAAGATATGTTGCAAGCTATTATCTTTTGGACGAACTAGTTAAGGGACTTGGTCGAACCAACAAAGATAGCTTCATTCCCAATCCCAAATCTCCTAAGGAAGCAAGAATGCAATTCAATGGCATACCTATTGATTAGGATCGGGTTTTTAGTCGTAAATCCATCTATGAAGGGTATATCAATTCTGTTAATCCCATGTGTAGTTAAAAGTGATGAGCTTTCCTTTTCTTTGCTTATAAACACAAGTATTTCCGAATGTAAATTCAAGTACAGTTCGTGTTTAAGGTTTCACACTTATTTCATAACCCCAAACACTGGTAAAAGAAATTGAGAGTGACTATAGACCTAGTAATAACTCATACAATGTCTTTTGAATCATTGATGTGTTGATAAGCAATATAAAAGATACATAGAAAATGAAACTATCTTAAGTCGTATTCCCCAAGGTCCATTGTTGTAATACTCAAGAAATGCAAACAATTTTGTGAAAGATGGTCATTAGAGGTTAGCTTCCAAATTTGGCATTGACCTAGCAAAAGAAATTTCTATAAAAAATCATCTAAACAATACCAAAATAGTCTAGATTTTATAATTATGAGCAAATTTGTGTTTGGGCATTTCCATTTGAATTTATGATTTGTATATCATTAGTTTAGAGAAAAATATTATGATTATTATGTGAATTTAAATGTATGATTCAAATGTGACTATAATTAGAATGTTGGCGGTTAATCATCTAAATTTTGAATTATTGTGAGTTACATATAATCAGTACTTATTAAGTATATAAATGTATGATTATTATGTGAATTTATAGTAATTATTAGTTGTGCATTTATATGATTAAGTATATGAATTGTACATGTAGTATGTGAAAACTATGTCTACTTTAATGATATCTTAAGCATGTTGATGAATAATAGTACGTCATTGTGCTTTAGTAAGTATATGAATAAAAGTAAATGATTGTCAGGAATTATAATCGACAATCAAGAATATCGAGATTTAACATGGTATCCCTGAGTATCGGGACTAATCCACGGGAGAGACTGTGTTATCTAAAGATCCACTATTATCGTATGCCTCGTTAGGTTACAATCGGCTAACTCTAGGTTATTATATATATGGGTACATCACGGCTAAGCTAATTACATCCGACTTAAACATAGTTTGGTTAATTACAGTTTTGTACTCAAGACTATAAACTTCAACACCCTTCCACAAATTGATGTGCGGTATGCAACATCAATTTGGATGATAAGTACCAATGCATACTTGACGCAACAACCTTCGTCAGTAGATCTGCAGTCTGATCCTCAGTCGAAAGATAGTCAACCTGTATTAACCCATCTACTATCAATTGTCTGATGCAATACACATGAACCTCAATCTGTTTGGCCTATCATGAAGAACTAGATTGATCGCAATATGTATCGCGTTCGTGTTATCCCCATATATATGCGCATTGGGACCTTATAATCAACGTGCAACTCACTTAATAATCGATGTAACCAAACTAGCTCGGAGCTTACCTCCGACATCCACCTCTACTCTGCCTCTGTGGTTGACATGGATACCTGATCTTGCTTTCGATACCTCCAAGATACAAAGGATTGACACACCCGAACACACCATCGTGACGTTGACCACCGAGTATTTACACACCCAGCATAATCTGCATCAACAAATGCCTCAATCGTAGGTCCACCTTTGGTCGGGAAGAATAGGCCAACATCCTGCGTTTGCTTCAGATACCGCAAAAGTCTATGAATTTAGTGATGGCAATCGGGCGAGGCAGGGTGGGTACCTCAATATCCATGCCCCGACCCATGCTATTGCGGGTTGAGGGAGATAATACCCGAGCGGGTACGGGGAGGAGCGGGTCGACCCACTCTTATATGTTATATGAAAAACATATACGCAAAATTTTAGTTTATCAATAAAACAAAGAGGAAAACAATTTATGAATGAAAAATTGTGATAATAGAATGAGTAATTAAGTGTAACTAGTTGAAAGGTCGATCTAACTAGTTGAAGAAAAGTCAAAATATGGTAAATATGGTAAGAAATTGAAGTAAAATGGGCCTAGAACTAGGCGGGGCAGGACAGCGCGAGTTGGAAGTAGATACCCATGACCCGCCCCATGCTACTGTGGGTCGAGTAATACCTGCCCTATCGTAGGTCGGGTCGGGTAATACCCGCAAAGCGGGTTCAAATTGGCATCACAATATGAACTGCAGCTAAATGCAGATTAGTAGCAACCCCTATGTACTAACTCACCACCTGAACTACATAAGATGTGTCTGGCCGAGTATGAGTTAAATAAATAAGACTTCCTACTAGGCTCCGGTAAACATACTTATATAAACCTTGAGAAGGGCGATGAATCTCGAGTCCCAGGAAATAGGACACATCGCCCATCTCCTTCAAATTAAAAGCCTGTCTAAGAGCTGCTGTAACCTCCTAATGCCACCCTTATCACTTCCCATGATGATCATATCATCTACATATATCAATAAAACCACAATACCATCAACCGTGACCTTCGTGAACAATGATGGATCATTCTGGCTTTGAGAAAAACCAGCCTGCAGAATTGTCCCATGAAACTTTTTGAACCATGCTCGAGGTGCCTGTTTCAAACCATACAGAGAGCGTTTCAGCCTGCAAACCATAAGAGAATCACCCTTCTCATAACCTGGTGGTCTCTCCATATATATCGTTTCTTTAAGATCACTATGAAGAAAGGCATTCTTCACATCAAGTTGAAGAAGAGACCATCCTTTCATTGCGGAAACCGCAAACACACATAGAACAGTTTGCATCTTCACTACTGGAGTAAATATTTCCTCATAATCAATACCATACTCCTGTTTGAATCCTTGTGCAACGACACAAGCCTTAAACTGCTCAACACTACCATCAGTATACATCTTGATGGCATAAACCCACCTATTGTCGATGACCAACATATCGTCGCGACGTTGAACAAGATCCCGAGTCTAGTTTTCTTCAAGAGCATCCATCTCCACATGCATGTCAGCATTCCATCTGGGATCATGAGCTTCCTGGGAGTAGCAACTCAAAATAACAACAGGAAAAGTCGAGAATCCCACGAATTTGTGCATGCGGAGAGGTGGCTGCCCTAAAGTGACTCGGGTCAATCTACGCAAAGCAAGGGGTTTTTGTACTGGGGACGGAGAGGGATCTGAACCTGCGGAATCATTTTCCGAGGAAATGTTGGAGTTCGCGCTGGAGCTTAGCGAAGACGAGCTAGAGTTGATGGATCATGTAGTCGACGTGCCATTGGGAAGTGGAGATGATTCTCCACTTTGAGAGCTAGAGCTAGACTAACTAAATGTCATAGTGGGTGTCATGACCGCTGGCATGGGATCAAAGTGGCCAAAGAAGTGAGAAATTCCAATGGTTCCGCCAAACTAGCTTCCACATGAGACGCCTGATAATACATATCCTTCTCCATACATGATTCGGGCCCAAATGTACACATTTTACCCCTTATTTCTTATTCATTTAGCTTAGTATTTCATCATTCCTCGACATATTTCACGCTAGGTTGTGCTTGTTTTGATACATTTCAGGTCCTAGCACGTGTGGAAGGGTCGAGGACGAGTTTTGGGATATTTGGAGGTCAAAAAGTGCAAAAACTGAAGAAAATTCCGAAGAGACCATGGCAATTGCCTCGTAACAGCGAAGTGAAGGCATCACAGGAAACAGCTGCAGTCCACGGGCGGACAAGGCAGTTCACGGTCTCCTAAGACCGTGAAGAGGAGGCATAGGCCTTGAACATCAAGGCGTCCAGGGCCAAATCCGAAATTACTGATGCCAGGCGAGTTCACGGTCTCTAAGACCGTGAACTGGGGCCATTGTCTGTGAACCCAGCAGAGTGAAGCGGCGCGTTTTGGAGACGACAGAGTTCATGGACGCGTTTAGGTGTTCACGACCGTGAACTGGTTTTGTGAGGAAGAAACACTTTCTTTCTCTAGGGTTTCAACCTAAACACCAAAGGGGATTTTTAGTGAGAGAGAGAGAGAGAGAGTGCTAGAGTGATCTTGGAGCATCATTGGAGGCTTGGGTGGAAGATTCAAACCTACAAGAAGAAGAAGAAGATCTTGAGCTCAAATTTGTAATCCCTCCCTCTTTTCTCTTGGGTGTTATAGATCCCTAACTAATACTTTGTAATTACTTGTTTAGATTGAACAATTAAGTGTGGGTTTGCATCAATTTGAGTATTAGAGGTGTTTTCATGGTGATTGTGCATGCTTGTACTTAGCAATCTAAGGGTTGTGCATAATTGTGCTTAGCACCCTTAGGTTTGTGCATGTTTCCTTCCGCTTTCTAAGCCACCTAAACTAGGTTAAGTTAGGGCGACCCTCAATATTGAGTTAAGCAAGTCGATTAATCGTGATTAAACCGTCCGACCTTAGAGTTGAGTGAGGGAGTAAGTCAATTA